ACAGCCCACTGTTATATTCAACTTATGGCTCCTACAAACTTATTCAAGGACTTTCCTCATAAATGGCAGATTTGAGACGATGATGTTTTTGATCCTTGAACCTTGTCATTTAAAAAGCTGTGAAAACTCATTACTTTTAGATTTGTAAGTTAACTCTAATGGAAATTAGCTCTTATGAAGCTAGCTCTAGTGAAGTTAGCTCCAATGGAAGGTAGTTCTTGTGATAAAACTAGTCACATTTGAACAACATGATCTCTTTAATACATGTTGTCAGCGCTAGTTCAAACTACAGTTGTCTGGACATCACCACACAGACATGATACAGACTACAGTCTGGGTCTCGGCAGATGTAAAAGCAAAAGACCAAGAATGGACAAAGAGCTCTGGTCTTATACCATGATAATTTGAAACACATGCAACAATATGTCCCACCTTCCTCTCCCTCAGAGAAGACGTGGCTTCCCTCTAAATAAACATGAGATCTACTAAAACCAGATGTCTTCGGCTTCCTGCTTATTATTAAAACTAGTTTCACTCATGACTGGGGGATGGGAGAATGCTGCATCCCACCACACACATAGGTTAACCCAAAGCTGTCTAAACTTTGAATAAATTCATTCACTTTAATGAAAATCCAACAACTCCACTATCCGTTCTAATGGAGCTGAACAGGGGTCCGCTGGTGGTTTACTACTGAAACACATGATCCGACAGCAAAATCGACCATCGATTCATTTACTTTTGAGATATTAACCCTTAGTGATTATCAGGTCTAGAGTGTGTCCTCTGCTGTGGGTGGGGCCACTCAGACGGTCTGATTTGTTCACAACTTGTGTTTACAAGACTTTACCAAAGCAGTCAGGTACCCCAGCTTTAAGCCGCTTCTGTACTCTATCTGTACCGTGTCCTTCTGCTGCAGGTGATTTTCCGTAAAATCAGCGACTTGCGAAAGGAGGAGGAGGAGCGAGAGCGCGCCAAGAACGAGGTGCAGCTCAGCATCCCGCAGGACCACCCTGTGCGCAGGCTCCTCCACAAGTTCAAGCCGCGGCACAACGGCAACAACGGCGGCTACACAGACGCAGAGACGCACCAGACCCAGAACCTGCAGCAGCTTGGTCACTCCAGCTCACAGCACTCTCTCCCCCTGAGCACATCCTTCCAGAACGGCACCAGCAACATCCTCACCGTGTCGCAGATCACCCCCATGCAAGAGTACAGCGCCGACAACAGAGACAAGCTCCAAGAGGACGAGAGAGAACCAGAGAAACTGAGAGAAACTGGCAAACGCGAAACCAACAAGAGAGAGAGCGACAAACAGAGAGAGAGCGACAAACACAAAGCCGCAGAAAGCAACAGTGAGGCGGTGATCCAGACTTTATCTAAACCAGCGAAAGCCCCCAGCGCCTGGATGCGTCTCAAAGGCAGTGCGGCAGACGGAGCGCGGCGAGACTCGCCTCTGACCAATCAGAAGGCGGCGTCCGCGGAGATGTTAGCGCCATCAGCATCGGCGCCGAGCGAGGAGACGGACGGCAAAAATCTGCGAAAGACTGACTCGTGCGACAGCGGCATCACCAAGAGCGAGCAGCGCATCGACGAGACGGAGACGGTGAAGGAGGCGCTGGACGAGACGCGGCTGCAGCTGCGCACCGACATACAGGCGCTGGGAGGTCGGCTGCGGCGGCTGGAGACACAGGTGCAGATGATCATACAGCTGCTGTTGGACGAGCGGCGAGAGGGAGAGAGAGAGGACCAGGCCGCAGTACCAGGGGCAGCAGCAGGGGAGCGAGAGGGGTCCAGACGCGAGAGAGCAGGACACCTTCACCGTGTCCAGACCGGTGACTCCTGATGCACACAGGGGGAGGGGCTATGAGGCACACAGGGGGGAGGGAGGGCTATGAGGCACACAGAGAGGAGGGGCTATGAGGAACACAAGGGGGAGGGGCTATGAGGCACACAGGGGGGAGGGGCTGTGAGCTGCAGTCAGGGCATGACGGTTTGAACATCCACATAACTAAGTATTGGCATCAAAACAATTGGTTTGAAATGATATTTAATCTGAGGTATTTGTGTATGGCCCTAAATCACATCAGCAGTCGACTCAGAGGAGTTGTTGATTCACCAACAGCAGATCAGAGAATCAGACACAATAATAACAAACACACAGAAGCCATCGGTCCTGGATCTACAGCCTCAGTCCCACATGAGTAACAGTTGTACAAGTTGCTGTGGCGATGTTCTTTCTCGTCTCTTATAAAACTCTAGTCTCTGGGCATTTGGGGAAGGTGAGAACCTTAAGGACTCCGCTGTCAGGGGGGGGAGGAGCCATGAGAACCTTATGGACTCTTCCTCTTCACTTTTTGCACTGGCTCTTCAGGTCACATGTCTCTCTGATCACAAGACTCTGATTGTACAGAGTTAAAGCTGGGGTACGTGACTTTCAGACAGGGGTGACGTGTTGTAAACATGACACACAATAAGATACATCCTCTCAGTAGCAGCTGTAGGTAAGAAGGCTGTAAAACCCTCAGAAAGAGAGAGAGAGACCAGAGAGAGTGAGAGCATAGAGAGAGACCAGAGAGAGAGAGAACAGAGAGAGACTGGAGAGAGACCAGAGAGAGAGAGACCACAGAGAGAAAGACCAGGGAGAGAGACCAGCAAGAGAGACCAGCGATAGAGACCAGAGAGAGAGAGACCAGAGAGAGAGATCAGCGAGAGAGAGATCAGCGAGAGAGAGACCAGCGAGAGAGAGACCAGCGAGAGAGACCAAGAGAGAGAGAGAGGGACCAGAGAGAGGGACCAGAGAGAGAGACCAAAGAGAGAGACAAGAGAGAGAGACCAGAGAGAGAGACCAGTGAGAGAGACCAAAGAGAGAGAACAGAGAGAGGGACCAGAGAGAGAGAGCAAATAGACCAGAGAGAGACCAAAGAGAGAGACCAAAGAGAGAGACAAGAGAGAGAGACCAGAGAGGGACCAGAGAGAGAGACCAGAGAGAGACCAAAGAGAGAGACCAAAGAGAGAGACCAAAGAGAGAGAGACCAGAGAGAAAGACCAGAGAGAGGGACCAGGTAACTCATGTTTTACTAACTCTCTACCAAGTCCCTGTGAGTCAAATAGTGGCCCACAGGGACTTGTTTCCTAATGAGATGAAGCCTGTGTCTTTACCAAACTCTGTCGGACAAACTTCATGTGTTATTTATGAAACAAAAGTCGGATACCCCAGCTTTAACTGCAGTAGCTCCACCTGTCCACCAGGTGTCTCTGTGTCTATGCATGTCCAGGTGGTCTCTGGTCCTCGCTGTAGAACGAGCATGTCTCCTCTTGTACCTTTTTATGAATTTTTGATGTTTTTGAACCGTAGCACCCGGAGATAACCTGCTGCATGGACCGCTTTGCTCCAAAGACTCCCACGACACACCAAAGCAAGTTTGATGCATTTTATACTGAGAGATCCTGAACCAGGTCTGAACCAGGTCTGGACCAGGTCTGGACCAGGTCTGAGCCAGGTCTGAGCCAGGTCTGAGCCAGGTCTGAGCCAGGTCTGAACCAGGTCTGAACCAGGACTGAGCCAGGTCTGAGCCAGGTCTGAACCAGGTCTGAACCAGGACTGAGCCAGGTCTGAACCAGGTCTGAACCAGGTCTGAACTAGGTCTGAACCAGGTCTGAGCCAGGTCTGAGCCAGGTCTGAGCCAGGACTGAGCCAGGTCTGAACCAGGTCTGAGCCAGGTCTGAGCCAGGACTGAGCCAGGTCTGAACCAGGTCTGAACCAGGACTGAGCCAGGTCTGAGCCAGGTCTGAACCAGGACTAAGCCAGGTCTGAATCAGGTCTGAACAGGACTAAACCAAGTCTGAACTAGGTCTGAACCAGGACTCAAATAGATTCTCCCGTCAGCACTTTTCTGTCCTTTCTATAATTGGACATTTTTCAGACTTCCTGACCCAGTTCTGTCCAGACCTGTCACACATGGATCAGAACCTGGATCTAAACTTGGATCTAAACCTTCATTATAAACCTGGATCATAAACCTGGATTATGAGCCTGGATTATAAACCTGGATTATAAACCTGGATTATGAGCCTGGATTAAAAACCTGGATTATGAACCTGGATTATGAACCTGGATTATAAACCTGGATTATGAGCCTGGATTATAAACCTGGATTATGAGCCTGGATTATAAACGCATGTGGATTTATGTGGAGGAATTATGCACTGAGTTTTTAACATAAAGACGTTTGTAGAATCTAAAATCTAATAAAGAGAATGTGTTTTGTAAAATGTTGTTCTTGTTCCGTCTGTTTCCGGAATAACGACTGCTCAGACAGAGGAAACTGTCAGACAAATGTCTCACAAATGTCAGGTGTAAATCGCACTGGAAGACGCAGCTACAGACACGACTGCGGCCAAAGGAAACTACAAACCCGAGGAGCAACTGACACAGACCTGCAGTGGTTTTTAGCTCCACCCAGGCTGACGTCCCCCCACCCCCTCTGTCTAAACGCTCTGTCAAGAAGAGCTGTAAAAGTTTTAAAAGAGTCTGGTCTCTCTCGGTGTGAAGCTGGACTGGAGCCAAACATGGGTCCGAAAGGAGCTGAAATCTCCATCTCTCAGAGCCTCGACCACCAAGGAGAGAGTAATGATGAAGAGGATGATGAAGAGAAGCTTTTTATTATTGTCAGAAAACACACTGTAATAATAAACATAAACTGCATCACATCAAAAGACAAAAATGATGAGACAGAGGGCGGGACTTAGGTGTGATTGACAGTTTGGTGGGTGGGACTTAGGTGTGACGGACAGATTTGTGGGCAGATTTTAAGTGTGATTGACAGCATGGTGGGTGGGACTTGTATGTGATGGGCGGGACTTAGGTGGGATTGACAGCTTTGTGGGCGGGACCTATATGTGATGGACAGCAGGGTGGGCGGCACTTAGGTGTGATTGACAGCATGGTGGGCGGGTCTTGGGAGTGATGATCACCCGGTGGTAGTGATGTCACACTCTCAGGGTGACGTCACACACTCGGTGGTGGTGATGTCACATGTCCCACACGCGCAGCTCAGAGCTCTCACGTAGCTGTAGCGATCGTCCACGTTGGCGTCGCAGTTCGGGAGCGTCACCGTGACGACGCGACTCCTGTTGTACGTACACACTCTCTGGAAGGAGTCCAGGAAGGGAGGCTCCAATGTGGGCTTCTGCAGGAGGAGGAGAGGAGGAAGAGGAGGGGGAGGAGGAGAGGAGGAAGAGGAGGGGGAGGAGAGAAGAGGAAGAGGAGGAGGAGGAGAGAGGAAGAAGAGGAGAGAGTAGGAAGAGGGGGACGAGGAGGAGGAAGAGGAAGTAGGAAGAGGGGGACGAGGAGGAGGAAGAGGAAGGCGGAAACAATCTAGATTTAGATTAATCAAAATAATTTTCTTTCACACCAACAATGTTATGACTAATTATGATAAACACACACACTCACATACACACACACTCACAGACACACACACACACCCCCTCACACACTGTCACACACTCTCACGCACACACACACACACACACCCACACACCTCCCAGGTCTCACAGCGCCCCCAGCAGGCGTCCGTGGTGATGTGCGCTCCTCTGCAGCCAGGCTTCCTCACCACAAACGTGAACTCTCTGACGGCACATCCAGTGAACCTCCGGAGGTTCACCATCACTGAGGAGGAGGAGGCCAGGAGGAAGAGGAGGAGGAGGAGGCTGTGGGGAGGGAGGAGACATCACAGAGGGTCAGGGAGGAGAAGTAACAGCAGCAGTATTAGTAGTAGCAGCA